CGCCCTGAAGTTTTTCACTGACGCGAGCATGGCTGGGATACTCGCCTCATTGTTCGTCCTCACTTCCGTACTCAGCTTTGACTCAGGAAGAGAAGAAACACACACAGACACAATTAATCTGCGATTTTCAGCAAATATGGGAAAATGTGGGAAGTGGGGGGAAGACAAACAAAAACATAACATATATGGGAAAATACGGGGGATGTTTTTAATTGGGTGCATTTGTTTGTGTGTCCCAGTTCCCCTTTCAGTCTGGGATACTCGCCTCACTGTTCGTCCTCACTTCCGTTCTCGGCTTTGACGTCCTCCTCGCCGCACGCCGCGGGGGGCTCCGCGGCCAGGCGCTCCGCGGCCGCACGCCGCGGGGGCCGCTGCGCCGCCGGCCTCCGCGGCCCCGGGGGCCCGAGGGGGGCAGTGCCGGCCTGCCGCCTGCGACGACGTGCGAGGAATGGCAGACCCCCTCCTCCCATCCTTTCTCCTTTTCCTTCTCCTTTCCTCCTCCTCCTCCTCCCCCTCCTGCTCCTCCTCCTCCTTTTTTTCCTTTTCCTCCTCCTCCTCCTCCTCCTTTTCCTCCTCCTCTTGTTCCTCCTCCTTCTCCTCCTTGTTGTTGTCCTCCTCATGCTCCTTTTTCTCCCCCCCCCCCCTCGGCCATCGTCGAGCAGTGGCCTGGCGTCCTGGTCTGCCCGTGGGCCCCGGCCACAGGATGTTCTAAGAACCTGCTCCTCTTCCCTCCTCCTCCTCCTCCCTCCTTCCTCCTGCTCCTCCTTCCTCCTGCTCCTCCTCCTCCAACCCTTCCCGTGGGCTCCAGGCGGGAGATGACGTGGACTCCGTGGACTCCGACCTGGTTTCCGTGCCCGACATGGAGGGCGCGGGTCGGGGGGCTGGCAGCCGTCCAGGCACGAGCGCGAGCGGGCGACGTGCTGGCTGGCCCTCGGTGCGCTCGAGGCAGCTCCTGCACGACGCCAGCGCCGCAGAGCGGACTCCGTTCGGAAAAAATAGCGGGGCCTTCGCCCAGATGGTCCTGCAGAAGTTCGTTCCGGACTGTGCAGTGCAGTTTGGTGCGGAAGTTTCCTGGGGTCAGGCAGGAATGCTGCAGACATCCGCGCGAAGCTCGCTCCGGTTTTCGCTCGCCGTCTCGGGGCCATGCGCTGGCAGGAGTCCAGGCCAAAATCCGCTGCAGTACGTCTGCAAGGCCGGTGCAGTGAAGATTCTCTCAGGGTGCGCTTCGGCTCTGAGACCATGTCGCGGCACACCCACAGGCCCTTGCCTGGAGGTGAGCTAGCAACCCGGCAAAGGTGGGCTTTTCTGGCACCATTTCCTACAGCCGAAGGGCTTGGTTCGCTTTGCTTGTGCCCTCGAATTTTAACGCAGTCTCTCTGTCAATGCACGGGGCCCTCCCAGCTGCGGGTCCGGCTGCCTGTCTCGGATCGCCGCCCTTTCAGTGCCCAGGGCCCGACAGCTGCCACCAGGTGCCAATATTATCGAAGATGCATACGGCGAATCACCGCCGCCCCCTGCTTGTTGGAACCGCCCATGTGGCCGAACGTTGTGGTCAGAGCTCTGCCAAGGTATCGGACTGGGTTTTCTCCTAAACCCTTTCACGAACACTTGGAGGAGGATGGCAGGGAAAATCAGGAGGAGGAGGAGGAGGTGGTGGAGGAGGAGGAGGAGGGGGCATGTTGGGAGCCTGTGGGGGCACTCCTGGGGATCTCTGGGGCCTCCTTGGGCTTCTTGGGGGGGGGCTTCTTGATGCCTCTTTGCTTATCTTAGGGCGTTACTGGCCCGTCGGACTCCATCTTGGTCGCCTCTCTGAGCCGACTTGGGGTCCTCTTGGGGTGCTCCAGGACCGTCTTGGAGGCCATCTTGGTCATCTCGGAAGCCTCTTGGGCCGTTTCGGGGCCCTCTTCGGACCGTCTTGGGGCCTCTTGGGCCGTTGTGGGGCCATCTTGGAAGCTTCTTGGGCGAACTTGGGGCGATCTTGGAGGGCTCTTGGGCCGTCTCGGGCCGTCTGAAGGTCGAACAGAAGCAAATGCTAAAATCACGCGAACATCAGAGGAAATCTAGGATTGTGGCTTGTTCGGGCCTTCCTGAAAGCCCGCTTGGGGGCTTCTCGTGCCGTCTTGGAGGTCTTTGGGGGGCCTTGTTAGGGCCTCTTGGGTCGTCTTGGGCGCATCTAAGGCCGTCTTGGCGGTTTCTTGGGCGGACTCTGAGACATCTTGAGCCCTCCTGAGCCGGGCAAATTTGGAGTGGTTCCTGGTGGTCGGCACAATGGACCGAACCCCCAGAGGGGAGTTGTAAAAAGAACCAGAAGCCATCAGACATTGAGCACGCCATGCACCCTTGTGATAAATCAACAGGGGGCGGCGGATCGAAGGCGCCAACGGCGAATCACCGCCGCCCCCTGCCTTTTTGGAAGCGCCTATGTGGCCGAACGTTGAGGCCAGACCTGCCAAGCTATCGGACCATGTGTTCCCCGAATCGGTTTGGAAAGCCTTCGGGGAACACGTGGGCATCTTGAAGGTCATCTTGGCCGTCTGGAGGCCATTTTGACCCTTTCGGGCCTTCTTGGAGGACGTCTTGGAGGACTCTTGGGCCGTCTTGGAGGCCATCTTGAGCGTCTTGGAGGCCTCTTGGGCCGTCTTGGGGGCCTCTTGGGGCCGTCTTGGGCCTCTTGGGCGATCGTTGGGGGCACTTGGGCCGTCTGGGGCCGTCAGAAGGCCGAGAAGAAGCAAGTACCACAATCCTTCCACAACTCAAGGGACGTCAATGATGTTGGCCTTGTCGGGCCTTCCTGGAGGCCCTCTCGCAGGCCTCTTGGGCCATCTTAGGGCCATCTTCTGCCGTCTTGGTGGGCTCCTGCTCCTGGCCCGTCTGACGCCGTCGGAAGCCGTTTCGGGGGCCTCTCTGGGCCGACTTGGGGCCCTCTTGGAATGCTCCAGGGCCGTCTTGGAGGCCATCTTGGGGCGTCTTAAAGGCCTCCTGGGCCGTCCTTGGGGCCTCCTGGGGCCGTCTTGGGGGCCTCTTGGCCCGTTCTGGAGCCATCTTGGAGGGCTCTTGAGCGATCTTTGGGCGATCTTTGGGGGTTCTTGGGCCTTCTCGGGCCGTCGGAAGGCCGAACAAAAAGTAAATGTCAAAGGACAATCCGTGTTTTTGTTGCCTTTTTCGGGCCTTCCTGGAGGCCCTCTTGGAGGCCTCTTGGGCCGTCTTGGGCCAGCTTCGAGCCAACTTTGGCCATCTTGGTGGGTTCCTGGCCCGTCTGACGCCGTCGGGAGCTGTCTTCGGGGGCAAATGAGGACTCGATCCACGAGGCTATAGAGCACAATCGCGGCATGGCACATCGCAATTCAGCACGGTGCAGCACAGCACAGCCCTCGGCAGGGTACATCAAGATCGATACCCTCAGCATTGCATTTGCCCGTCACCCAATCAGGTGTCTTTGAAAACGCTGCCATGCGTTACAGCTCTATATTCCTTTCCGGGTTCGTGGGTCGATCATGTTTCCGGATTGAGCTCCGAGATCCTTTCCGTGTGGCCGGCGGGACGGGCCGAAGCTCCAGGGGGAGTTCTTTTGGAAAAAGAACCAAAATCAAAAGCTACATAGTTCGGCACGCCAGGCACCCCTTTGATAAATCAAAAGGGGGCGGCGGATCTAGTGGCCTTCGGCCCATCCCGCCACCGCGCCTGGGCTGGAGGTCAGAAGCATCCTGGATGCCTGTGAGGATCTCTTGGGAGGCTTATCGGATGCCTTTTGAAGGTGGTTTTGCGGGTGCCTCGGGGCGTCTTGGTGGTTTCTTGAGGCTTGACCTTTGGCCTCTCGGGGCCTCTTGGGTGTACCTCGGGGGCTTCTGGTAGGATCTTGGGGCGGAGGGCTCATGTCAATTCGTGTTCCCGATATTGGGCCCCTCTCGGGGCCAGCTTTTGCGCCTCTTCGGCCCCTCTTAGGAGCTCTTGGACCGTTTTGCGGCGATCTTATGTACTTTCTGGGCCCTCTTGAACGCCCTGAAGCCCGTAAACGGCGATTGTGCGAGAACCATGCAGCATCCGGTGGATTTTCACGATTTTGGCCTCTTGGGCCACCCTCCAGGGCCTCCAAGACGGCCCACGAGGCGCCCAAGCGGGCTCGAGGACGGTCCCTGGAGCCATCTGAAGCCATGTTGGACCAGCATGTGAGGAACAACGCACCCCTGGCCTCTCCGAAAAGTACGCGGGGACCCCTTAAGAACGCGTGAGAGCGCCCAGGACTCCAGGCTGTGGGCCCCCTTCAAAGAGTGCTTACATGATGAAGCACGGAGAACTCGAAGGGACGCGGGGACCTCCTCCTCCTCCTCCTCTTCCCCCTCCTCCTCCTCCTCCTCCTCCTCCTCCTCCTCCTCCTCCTCCTTTCTCATCCTTTCTCCTCCTCCTCCTCCCCCTCCTCCTCCTCCTCCTTCTTCCTCCTCCTCCTCCTCCTCCTCCTCCTCCTCCTCCTCCTCCTCCTCCTCCTCCTCTCCCCCTCCTCCTCCTCCTCCTCCCCCTCCTCCTCCTCCTCCTCCTCCTCACTCCTCATCCTCATCCTCATCCTCATCCTCATCCTCCACCTCTCCTGCCTCCTACTCCTCACTCCTCTCCTCCCCTCCTCCTCCTCCTGCTCCTCCTTCTCGCTACACCTCCTCCTGCTTCCTCCCCCTCCCCTCCTTCCTCCTCCTCCTCCTCCTCCTCCTCCTCCTCCTCCCCCTCCGTGTCCTCCTCCTCCTCCTCTCCTCATCTTCCACATCCTCCTCCCTCCTCCTCCTCCTCCTCCTCCTCCTGCTCCTCCTTCTCCTTCTCCTCGCTCCCTCCTTTCTTTCTCCCCCTGCCTCCTCCTCCTCCTCCTCCTCCTCCTCCTCTTCCTCCTCTCCCCCTCCTCCTCCTCCTTCTCCTCCTCCCCTCCTCCTCCTCCCTCCTCCTCCTCCTCCGCCTCCTCCTCCTCCTCCTTTCTCCTCCTCCTCCTCCCCTCGTCTCTCCTTCTCCTCCTTCTCCTCCTCCGCCTCCTCCTCCTCCTCCGCCCCCCTCCTACTCCTCACTCCTCCTCCTGCTCCTCCTCCTCCTCCTCCGCCCTTCCTCCTCCCCCTCCTCCTCCTTATTCTCCTCCTCCTCCTCCTCCTCCTTCTCCTCCTCCCCCTCTCCTCAGCCACAGGCGGCCTCGAGAGGGGCCTTCGCTGGGCGGTCGTCGGGCCTGCGCGTGCCACGACCTGCGCGCGCAGGCCCGACGACCTTGCCGCCGTGCGCGGTGGGGGATCTTTGGGAAGAGTGTTTGGATTGAGCAAGCCACGATTGTCTGAGGATTGGCCCACGAGACCTCTTCACGTCAGCGAACAGGTACCCATACCTCTACCCTCCCCTCGTTTTCCCCTTTTCGGGCCTCCTCGGAGGCCTTCGTCGCCACCGCTGGATTCGTTTCGAAATTCTGGGCAGAACGCACCCCAGGAATCAGTACCTTTCGGCTTCCCCAGTTTGGATTGAGCAAACCATGATCGTCTGAGGATTGGCCTCCCGGACCCCTCCACGTGCGCGTTCTGTCCAGGAGATCGAAACGGTTCCAATCTGCCTGCGTTGGCCACCCCGGAGGCCCCAAAAGCGCAATCACATCAGCAGCATCACAAGGATCACCTCAATCCTCGATCCAGGATCCCAGACGTCCGATGCCCTGATGTTTTCAGTGCGCGTGCCCTGGAGCTCTCGACGCATTCCGCGGACCGGTCTTTCTGAATGTTCTATTGAATTGTGCCTTTTCGATCCGGGAGCCCGGAGACAGCCTCCGACGGCGCGTAGCCATTTTGGCTCACGCCCTCTTGGCTCAGCACCAGCATCGTTCGACTAGGGCGCGTCGCCGTGCCCCAGCTCCGCCGCGCTCCGCCGAACGAGGCGATGGTCCACTCGAGCGTGGTCGAGCCCGCGGCCAAGAGGGCCAAGACCACCGACCTGGCCGCGCTCCGCGCGTTCACCTACGGGGAGCCCAAGGTCATCGCCGAGATCGGCTGCAACCACCGGGGCGAGATCGAGACCGCGAAGGAGCTGCTCACGCTCGCGAAGGAGGCGGGCGCGACAGTGGGCAAGTTCCAGAAGCGGTGCCCCAGAGAGCTGCTGACGCCAGACCAGTACAACGCGCCCCACCCGAACCCGCAGAACTCCTTCGGCTCGACCTACGGGGAGCACCGCGAGTTTCTCGAGCTGAGCCTCGACGACCATCGCGAGCTGCAGAAGCACTGCCAGTCGATCGGCATCGAGTACTCTTGCTCCACCTGGGACCTCACCTCCGCAAAAGAGATCGTACAGCTGAACCCATGTTTGATTAAGGTTGGATCTCCGTCCAACATGCATTGGGACATGATGGAGTATCTTCGCGACCACTATGCTGGGGAGGTCCACATTTCCACAGGCATGACCACCAAGGACGAGATCGAGCAGATCGTTAAGTTCTGGGAGGTAGGCGGCCACGCCGCGAACCGCGTCGTGCTGTACAATTGTGTGGGGCAAGGTGCAGGCTGCACCTCTGGATACCCCGTGCCGTTCAAGGACGTCTGCCTGCTCGACATCCGGGCTGCTGCAGGAAAAGTACCTAGGCACCGGTGGCGTCAAGTGCATCGGCTTTTCGGCACCACGTTCTACCACTGGAGCACATTGCCATAGACGTTGCGGCATACGCACGGCTATGGGCGCGCAGTGGATCGAGGGCGCCACGTCCACCAATGACCGCACCTGGAAAGGGCAACCGACCACGACCGCCTCCCTGAGCCAGCCGGTCTCACGAAAGCTGTCCCGCGATCTCGCGCTGCTACACCCCTGCCCGCCAAGGAGACAAGGAGACCGACATCTTGCCGCTGGAGTCGGAGCAGCGTGCGAAGCTGAAGTGGGGCCTGTACAATAAGGATATCGTGGCCAAGCTGAAAGTTCGCCGCCCCATCTAGGGCGGCGCAGGGTGTGCAAGGCTCTGCGATGGAATTCGTCTTCGACACGCGCATGCGCTGTCCGATGCGGCGGCGCCACGCGTGTCATCTTTTCCGTGCTATCAATTTAGGACCAAACCATCCCCGGTCGGTGAGTGCTTGTTCTCGACCTCAGTGGTTCATGTGCGGCTTGGTGTGAGATCCACGCCTGCCTGCAGCGTTCACCAGATCCGAGCAAAGAGACTGCGGAGCAACAGTAAGAAAACATAAGGAATAGAGCCTCCGACGGCCGAAGACGGGGAGGAGATTTTCTCCTCTACTTTTCATGACGTCGGAGTCTGGGATCCTCGGTCTGCCATCGGGCGGTGGACGAGGAGCATCTAGCGACACAGGAGGAACGAGCTGCTGGTTCGCACCGGGTCGACGCGGCGGTGACGCCAGCGCGTTCGAGGTCGAAGGCCGCCAGTGGAGGGGAATCGATTTGTATCGAACGATCTGTTGAATCGGAAAGCTGCGATCATTCACGGTGGAACGTCGCTCAGAGGAGGACTTGGTGCCCGATTCCGTTGTCCTCTCTCGTTATTTCTTTTCCGGGAAAGGGCTCAGGCCCAGTGTTGTCTTTTAGTAGGTGATCTCAGTGCCGGGCCCTCGTCGCCACCGCTGGATTCGTTTCGAAATTCTGGGCAGAACGCACCCCAGGAGAGGTCCAAGGAGTAGCGGCATCAGTACCTTTCGGCTTCCCCAGTTTGGATTGAGCAAACCATGATCGTCTGAGGATTGGCCTCCCGGACCCCTCCACGTGCGCGTTCTGTCCAGGAGATCGAAACGGTTCCAATCTGCCTGCGTTGGCCACCCCGGAGGCCCCAAAAGCGCAATCACATCAGCAGCATCACAAGGATCACCTCAATCCTCGATCCAGGATCCCAGACGTCCGATGCCCTGATGTTTTCAGTGCGCGTGCCCTGGAGCTCTCGACGCATTCCGCGGACCGGTCTTTCTGAATGTTCTATTGAATTGTGCCTTTTCGATCCGGGAGCCCGGAGACAGCCTCCGACGGCGCGTAGCCATTTTGGCTCACGCCCTCTTGGCTCAGCACCAGCATCGTTCGACTAGGGCGCGTCGCCGTGCCCCAGCTCCGCCGCGCTCCGCCGAACGAGGCGATGGTCCACTCGAGCGTGGTCGAGCCCGCGGCCAAGAGGGCCAAGACCACCGACCTGGCCGCGCTCCGCGCGTTCACCTACGGGGACCCAAGGACATCCGCCGAGATTCGGCCAGCCTGGCCACCGGGCGAGATCGAGACCGCGGAGGAGCTGGCTCGACGCTCGACAAGGAGGCGGGCGCCGACAGTGGGCAAGTTCAGAATCGGAGCCCCAGAAGCTGCTGACGCCAGAACCATACAACGCGCCCCACCCAACCCGCAGAACCTCCTTCGGCTATCCGACTACGGGAGCACCGCGAGTTTCTCGAGCTGAGCCTCGACGACCATCGCGAGCTGCAGAAGCACTGCCATCGATTCGGCATCGATTACTCTTGGCTCCACCAGGTACCGTCACCTCCGCAAAAGAGATCGTACAGCTGAACCCAATGTTTGAATAAGGTGGATCTCCGTCCTACATGCATTGGACATGATGGAGTATCTTCGCGACCACTATGCTGGGGAGGTCCACATTTCCACAGGCATGACCACCAAGGACGAGATCGAGCAGATCGTTAAGTTCTGGGAGGTAGGCGGCCACGCCGCGAACCGCGTCGTGCTGTACAATTGCACCTCTGGATACCCCGTGCCGTTCAAGGACGTCTGCCTGCTCGACATCCGGCTGCTGCAGGAAAAGTACCAGCACCGCGTCAAGTGCATCGGCTTTTCGGGGCACCACCTGGGCATTGCCATAGACGTTGCGGCATACGCGATGGGCGCGCAGTGGATCGAGCGCCACTTCACCAAGGACCGCACCTGGAAGGGCACCGACCACGCCGCCTCCCTGGAGCCCGCCGGTCTCACGAAGCTCGTCCGCGATCTCGACGCCTGCTACACCGCCTGCACCTACAAGGAGACCGACATCTTGCCGCTGGAGTCGGAGCAGCGTGCGAAGCTGAAGTGGGGCCTGTACAATAAGGATATCGTGGCCAAGCTGAAAGATCGCCGCCCCATCTAGGGCGGCGCAGGGTGTGCAAGGCTCTGCGATGGAATTCGTCTTCGACACGCGCATGCGCTGTCCGATGCGGCGGCGCCACGCGTGTCATCTTTTCCGTGCTATCAATTTAGGACCAAACCATCCCCGGTCGGTGAGTGCTTGTTCTCGACCTCAGTGGTTCATGTGCGGCTTGGTGTGAGATCCACGCCTGCCTGCAGCGTTCACCAGATCCGAGCAAAGAGACTGCGGAGCAACAGTAAGAAAACATAAGGAATAGAGCCTCCGACGGCCGAAGACGGGGAGGAGATTTTCTCCTCTACTTTTCATGACGTCGGAGTCTGGGATCCTCGGTCTGCCATCGGGCGGTGGACGAGGAGCATCTAGCGACACAGGAGGAACGAGCTGCTGGTTCGCACCGGGTCGACGCGGCGGTGACGCCAGCGCGTTCGAGGTCGAAGGCCGCCAGTGGAGGGGAATCGATTTGTATCGAACGATCTGTTGAATCGGAAAGCTGCGATCATTCACGGTGGAACGTCGCTCAGAGGAGGACTTGGTGCCCGATTCCGTTGTCCTCTCTCGTTATTTCTAACCGCGGGTCTGACGGGAAGAGGGCCGGCGGATTTTTTTGCGATAAATAACGAGTGGGAAGAGGGCCAGCGAATCAAAAATTGAGGATGTCCCTAGCGAAACGCTTGTTGTTCAGATTTTGTTGAGGATGTCTCGAGCGAAACGCTTGTTTTGTGCTATAGATGGTCCTCTCCTGGGGACGAGAATGTAGAGGATCTCTCAAGTGAAATGCTTGGTTTCACGTGCCCAGGTCTTGAGGATGTCTTGAGCGAGACGCTTGGTTTCACGCCTCCAGGTTGTCCAGGCAGAGGTCAAGCGCCAGGATTTGTTGAGGATGTCCCTAGCGAAACGCTTGTTGTTCAGATTTTGTTGAGGATGTCTCGAGCGAAACGCTTGTTTTGTGCTATAGATGGTCCTCTCCTGGGGACGAGAATGTAGAGGATCTCTCAAGTGAAATGCTTGGTTTCACGTGCCCAGGTCTTGAGGATGTCTTGAGCGAGACGCTTGGTTTCACGCCTCCAGGTTGTCCAGGCAGAGGTCAAGCGCCAGGATTTGTTGAGGATGTCTCGAGCGAGACGCTTGGTTTCACGCGTCCTCGTCGCCCAGGCGGATGTCTAGAATGAGGAGGTGTTGAGGAAGTCTCGATCGAGATGCTTGTTTGCACGTGTCCAGGTTGCCCAGGCGGATGCCTAGCATGAGGATGTGTTGAGAATGTCTCGAGAGATACGCTTGTTTTCACGTGTCCAGGTCGCCCAGGCGGATGTCTGACATGAAGATGTGTTGAGGATGTCTCGAGCGAGACGTTTGCTTTCACGTGTACAGGTCGCCAAGGCGGATGCCTAGAATGAGGAGGTGTTGAAAACGTTTCGAGCGAAACGCTTGTTTTCATGTGCCCAGGTCACCCAGGCGGACGTCTCACATGAAGATGTGTTGAGGATGTCTCGAGCGAACTACTTGTTTTCACGTGTCCAGTTCGCCCAGGCGGATGTCTAGCATGAGAATGTGTTGAGGATGTGTTGAGCGAAACGTTTGTTTTCACGTGTCTAGGTCGCTCAGGCGGATGTGTAGAATGCGGGTTTTGACAGGATGTCTCGAGCGAAACGCCTGTCCCCAGCACGTTCCGTAGCGCGTCCCCTTGGCACGTCCTACTGTGCGACCCCATGGCACGTCCCCTGGCACGTCGCCTGGCGCGTCCCTTGGGACGTTTCGCGGCGCGTCCTCCTGGCATGCCCCCCTGTCAATTAGCTCTGGGGCAGCTTCTATGTGTTCAGGCAGCTCGAGCTTAAGATCCAGATCTGTTCGGTCAGGACTCGGATGCAAAGGAAGACTCGATCCACGACGCTATAGAGCACAACCGCGGCATGGCACGTCACAATTCAGCACGGTGCAGCACAGCACAGACTTCGGCACGGTACATCAAGATCGATACAATCAGCATTGCAATTTGGCACGTTCCTTGGCACGTTCCGTGGGGCGTCCCTTGGCGAGTCCCCCTGGCACGTCGCGTGGCGCGTCCCCCTGGCACATTCCGTGGCACATCCATTGGCACGTTCCGTAGCGCGTCTCTTTGGCACGTCCTACGGTGCGACCCCATGGCACGTCCCCTGGCACGTCGCCTGGCGCGTCCCTTGGGACGTTTCGCGGCGCGTCCTCCTGGCATGCCCCCCTGTCAATTAGCTCGGGGGCAGCTACTATGTGTTCATGCAGCTCGAGCTTAAGATCCAGATCAGTTCGGTCAGGACTCGGATGCAAAGGAAGACTCGATCCGCGACGCTATAGAGCACAACCGCGGCATGGCACATCGCAATTCAGCACGGTGCATACAGCACAGCCCTCGGCATGGTACAGCAAGATCGATACAATCAGCATTGCATTTGCCCGTCACCCAATCAGGTGTTTTTCCCGGAAAGGGCTCGGGCCCAGGGTTCTCTTTTAGTTGGTAAACCTGTCCCCCGGTGCCAACTTGAAGGAGGCCGGCGGATTTTTTCCCTGATAAATATCGAGGTCGAAGGAGGCCGGCGGATTAAAATTTGAGGATGTCTCGAGCGAAACGCTTGTTTTTGAAATCCCGATCGATAAATCACAGGGTGCGGGCCACTTTTTCGTGTGTTGAGGATGTCTCGAGCGAAACGCTTGCTCCGCAGAGTTTGCCGAGGATGTCTCGAGCGAAACGCTTGTTTTGCAGAGCCGACCGCGACGCGGAAAAGCGCCCCGCGCGAAGGAATTTCGATGATGTCTCGACTAATTCCTTTGTTTTTGTACGATTTCCTGGAATTTTGGCAGGATGTCTCGAGCGAAATGCACGACCCCACCCTAGCACGACCATACCCCAGCACGACCACACCCCAGCACGACCAGACCCCAGCACGACCCCACCCCAGCACGACCCCACCCCAGCACGACCATACCCCAGCACGACCACACCCCAGCACGACCCGACCCCAGCACCCACCCCAGCACGACCACACCCCAGCACGACCTCACCACAGCACGACCACACCCCAGCACGACCACGCCCCAGCACGACCACGCCCCAGCACGACCACGCCCCAGCACGACCACCCCCCAGCACGACCACCCCCCCAGCACGACCACCCCCGAGCACGACCACCCCCCAGCACGACCACCCCCCAGCACGACCACTCCCCAGCACGACCACACCCCAGCACGACCACACCCCAGCACGACCACACCCCAGCACGACCACACCCCAGCACGACCACACCCCAGCACGACCCGATCGATAAATCACAGGGTGCGGAGCACCCCAGCACGAACCCACCCCAGCACGACCCCACCCCAGCACGACCCCACCCCAGCACGACCACGCCCCAGCATGACCACACCCCAGCACGACCACACCCCAGCACGACCACTCCCCAGCACGACCCCACCCCAGCACGACCCCACCCTAGCACGACCACACCCCAGCACGACCACACCCCAGCACGACCCCACCCCAGCACGATCACACCCCAGCACGACCCCACCCCAGCAAGACCACACCCCAGCACGACCGCACCCCAGCACGACCTTACCACAGCACGACCACACCCCAGCACGACCACGCCCCAGCACGACCACGCCCCAGCACGACCACGCCCCAGCACGACCACGCCCCAGCACGACCACGCCCCAGCACGACCACCCCCCAGCACGACCACCCCCCCAGCACGACCACCCCCCAGCACGACCACCCCCCAGCACGACCACACCCCAGCACGACCACTCCCCAGCACGACCACACCGCCTTGGTTGAGTGGTTGCCTGTCGTCGTGGAATGTTTCGTGGGGTGTCTCGTGGAATGTTTCGCGGGGTGTCTCGTGAAATGTTTCGTGAGGTGTCTCGTGGAATGTTTCGTGAGGTGTCTCGTGGGCTGTTTCGTGAGGTGTCTCGTGGGATGTTTCGTGAGGTGTTGCCCAGTTGGGTATCATGAAAACGTGTCCATGCTCCACATGTCTATATCCCTTTCCGGGTTCGTGGGTCCATCATGTTGAAAACGTTTCCATACGTTACATTTCTATATTCCTTTCCGGGTTCGTGGGTCGATCATGTTTCTTTTCCAGGAAATGGCTCAGGCCCAGTGTTGTCTTTTAGTAGGTGATCTCAGTGCCGGGCCTCGACTCGCGCAGGGCCGACGAATTCGAAAAATGAGGATATCCCTTGCGAAACGCTGGTTTTTGAAATTCCACTCAAAAAAAACATGGTTAAGTACACATGCTCGTTTGGTGCAGATGTCTCGAGCGAAACGTTTGGTTTGCAGAATTGTCTGAGGATGTCTCGCTCGAGCCTCCTGTTGTGTGTTACAGATCGTTCCTCTCCTGGGGACCTGGATTCAGATGATGTCTCAGGTGAAATGCTTGCTTTCACGTGCCCAGGTCTTGAGGATGTCTCGAGCGAGACTCTTGGTTTCACGCGTCCTGGTTTCTCAGGCAGATATCTAGCATGAGGAGTTATTGAGGCTGTCTCGTGCGAGGCGCTTGCTTTGTGTTGCAGACCGTTCCTCTCCCGTGGACCAGGATTCAGAGGATGTCTTGTCTCAGGTGAAGTGCTTGTTTTCACGTGCCCAGGTCTTGAGGATGTCTCGAGCGGGACGCTTGGTTTCACGCGTCCTAGTTGCCCAGGCAGATGTCTAGCATGATGATTTGTTGAGTATGTCTCGAGCGAGACGCCGCTGGTTTTCACGCGTCCAGGTCGCGCAGGCAGATGGTTAGCATGAGGATTGGTTGAGGATGTCTCGAGAGAGAAGCCGCTGGTTTTCACGAGTCGAGGTCGGCCAGGCGGATGTCTAGCGTCAGGATGTGTTGAGAATGTCTTGAGCGAAACGCTTGTTTTCACGTGTTCAGGTCGCCCATGCGGATGTCTAACATGAAGATGTGTTGAGGATGTCTCGAGCGGAACGCTTGTTTTCAGGTGTCCAGGTCGCCCAGGCGGATGTCGAGGATGTGTTGAGG